GATTGAGTCATGCATAGTCATTGAACCAGTCTAAAATAATATATATATATATATATATTATATATATATATATATATATATATATATATTATATATATATATATATATATTATATATATATATATATATATATATATATATATATATATATATATATATATATATATATATATATATAAGGAGCATATCAAATGAGAGTGATTTTAAATGAGAGATGAGAGTAACAAACAACAACCATTAGATCAAATTAATAAGAGAGATGAAATTCAAATTAATAAGAGAGAGAAATTAATAGTCACATTAATAAATAAGTTTAATCATGATCTAATAGTTGTTGTTTGTTCCTCTCATCTCTCATTTTAAAATCCCTCTCACTTAATATGCCCTTATATATATATATATATATATATATAATATATATATATATATATATATATATATATATATATATATATATATATATATATATATATATATATATATATATATATATATATATATATATATATATATATATATATATATATATATATATATATATATATATATATATATATATATTATATATATATATAATATATATATATATATATATATATATATATATATATATATATATATATATATATATATATATATATATATATATATATATATATATATATATATATATATATATATATATATATATATATATATATATATATATATATATATATATATATATATATATATATATATATATATATATATTATATATATATATATATATATATATATATATATATATATATATTATATATATATATATATATATATAATATATATATATATATATATATATATATATATATATATATATATATATATATATATTATATATATATATATATATATATATATATATATATATATATATATATATATATATATATTATATATATATATATATATATATATATATATATATATATAATATATATATATATATATATATATATATATATAATATATATATATATATATATATATATAATATATATATTATATATATATATATATATAATATATATATATATATATATATATATATATATATATATATATATATATATATATATATATATATATATATATATATATATATATATATATATATATATATATATATATATATATATATATATATATATATATATATATATATATATATAATATATATATATATATTATATATATATATATATATATATATATATATATATATATATATATATATATATATATATATATATATATATATATATATATATAATATATATATATATATATATATATATATATATATATATATATATATATATATATATATATATATATATATATATATATACATACATAAAAGTATAGAGTAAGCTTTTTACAGAGTAAGTGGCTTGTTCTCGCAGCTATGTTAGAAAATCTATGTAAATATAAAAAGTAATGAATAAAATCTATTTAAAATATTTATCAATTAACGTCTATATTTATCAAATTTTTTTTTTATATCTTTGATCACATCATCTTAAAAACATATATTTATTCTCTTTATTTTTTTTTCTTTTTTCATTTAAAATCACACTTGAGTAATCATGGCTTAACTAATTTTTTTCCTCAAAATTAACTAAAATTATTTTAATGGACCAACTCAAAGCCCGTTTATCAAACTTAGACCGACCATGAAAAAATAGACCCAATGGCATGAGTCAAAAAGATAGAATGGTGTTTTTTTAAACTTTGTTACAGTACAGCTCGCATTAAAATATAGGACTCGTAGTTGAGCCAAACTCATTTTGACAACTCTCCTTATAGAACATTTCGTATGCTTGAGTTTTTTAATGCATCCATTTGCTTTTGCTACTTAAAATAAATTATATCTATTTATTTCTTTTATTATCCGTGTAGATTTTGTTAATAATACAAAAGGAAATAAAAGTAGTACGCAACTCATAAAAACAAAACTACTAATGCTACTAGAAAGTAGAAACTAGTAGCAAACTTTCCCAGAGGTTATGATCCAGCAACTACTAATATGTAGAAACTAGTAGCAAATTAGTAACCAAAACTACGAGTGAGATGCATCAAATGATTCACTTGTGTTCTCAGTTCGAAAAACTCTTATCTTCTTATCAGCATCTTTGGCTTCTAACAAAATCTATGTGGGGAAGCCTTGGTCAAAAAATAACAGCATGACTTTGCTCCAAACTAAACTCTACCAGCACAAACACATTTAATTAAACAAAACACCAAAATTAATGCAGAATTATATAGTTTAACATTAAATCAGAAAAAAGAAAGAAAAATAAAACAGCACTACAGCTGATCCAAGCAGAGGCAAAAGACCAAAAGCTACAATCGTCAGCATCATCTGTCTTTAATGCAATTTTTCACAATAATAAGAATCACAAACACAGTTTAAAACCTTGATTGAAAACAGAACATGAAAGCCATGGTTGAATACTCTCTGAGATGAAAAACGAGATAAAGAAGCAAACCAAGCAAGTAATGACACACAAGATTCAAGCAAAAATTCAAAATGTATAGGTGTAGTTTTTCGCACCACATTTTCTAAGCAATGAATGGTTCAAAAATAACGAAAAACCACATTAGAAGTGAAGAGAAGAAGATGATAATTGATCAAAATGTAGTCGTCGATGTCCCGTAGGGAATGACAGTTACTGCTTACTGCAAATGAAAACTAAAATAATGATAGTGAATGGTTGAAATCACCTGCTATAACATTGAATAATATCTTGCATAAGCTGTGTCCTATAAGTACTATTACATGGAAGGATAATATGTCTAACATTGTTGTGACTAACAAGATCGGTAGTTTTCTCATTTGATTTAAGAAATCTTGCTACAAAAATTTGCTAGATAAGGGAACAAACAAGTCATACAAACAACATAATATGCACAAACAATGAATTCATAACAAGAAAGGATCACATAGGTTCATACTTACTTAACCCAACTTGGAAAAGTGGCACTTAAAAGAAGTGTCTGAACTTAGTACATATTGTACCTTGCCTACAAAAATCAGATAATAGCCCATAAGTTTAAATATGGAGTAACTCCGCAAGCAACATTATGCCGACTTTTATATGTACAAGACAGATTGCACGTTTAAAGATTGTAAGGGGAGAAAATAAACTTTAAAGATTACAAGTTAGAACAGGCTAAAATACATACAGACCATCTAGAAGCAAAAGAATCAATTACCATGATAGAGATTCGCGAAGCTCTTTTTGGACAAAAATGCTAGAATTTAAGATTCATACCGGTAGCCGTGTCACAGCAGAAAACAGCATATGCACAAAAAGAAGCCATGTTACAGCAGCAACAGAAGTACATATTAAGATACGGCAAGACTTGAAAAAACTTTTTTAACAGAATATGTGTTGATTAACACTTGATATGTTATTACGGGAGGCTACTGTCTGCCATGGTTGAAAGATACCAGGGTCTGCTACGTAAGGGGTAAGGTTATATAGAGAAATAAGTTACAAATTGTATATACCTTTTTTTATCAAGCATATGCAACTTTTAATGATAATTTACATATTATAACTTGAATATAAAAACCACTTTACACATATATTTACAATATCAGCTGAAAAATCTTACCAATCACGAAAAGCTCAAAGTGAGTCCCAGCTTCTTGAAATGGTAAGACAAACAGAGCTTCTTGAAACTTTTTATTTATTAATAAACTCTTAGTAGCTGTCATCATAATCTAGAATTGAAACATAGACTTTAAATCCAGCGCATCAAATTGCTCATTAGACAAATATCAACATGCATATCCAAGAAACAGAAACACGAGGTGGAGACCACAGAGCAATCACCTCAAGTTTATACCACAGACATATAAAGAATTCTAAGCAACGAGAACCTAAACCAAACAAACTCACAACATCAAATATCGACTGCTTTTAGCAACAAAATCTTCCATACAATTAAGAGAGCCAAATAAGATCAACCTAAATTGTCCAAAGTAATCACAATCAACTCCTTCCTATACAATCAATATACATACCAATAACTAATTTAAGTGAAACATGAAAAACCTAATCAATAATTAATTTTAAAGATCGACAGTTCTACTCAAATACTGAGACATATTTTTTGAAAAACCATTCAAAACAGTTTAAGATCATGTGTGAAAAATATACATAATATTAAGTGCTTATAAAATATAAAATATTAAAGGAAAATAATTATTTATAATATATTGAAAATTTTGGCCAAATACTAAAATATAAAATTTAATTATTTACTTAGAAATGAAGGTCAAACAGAGGATGAATGTGTATGGTTACACAAATTTAACTAGTTGTGTAGCCTACAAGACAGTCAAATAATTACAACAGTTGTCTAAACTGTCGTGTGAAATGTGTAAAAATCTTTAACATAGTGCGACGGTTGGATCCCAACTGTCGCAGTACTAAATGTTAGAAAATGACTATTTTCTTGTAGTGTGGACCAGGCATATAAAGAGATGAAAATGTTAAAAATTTTCAAGAAGGCTGAGGTGAATATTCTGCCCCTTGAGTCAATGGAACCAAACACAAACCACATTACATTCAACTCATTTTTACCTGAAATCAATTTTAATCGTTGCAAAACCAAACATCCCCTAAAAGTTTTTGGATCTTAAAATTCATTACAAAGAACACACATTTGGTTTTGTTAGATGTCCTTCAATATTACAAAGAACACACATTTGGTTTTGTTAGATGTCCTTCAAGAAGATATAAATATATATTGGACGGAAACTACAATTATTTACTTTTCTGATGCTTTACCCATTTTTCAAGTCCTAAGTAAATTCTAAATCGTACATGTGTAGTTCAAACAAAACTCTACCTGCCAATCTGAACTACAGATATGCATAAAAAATTGAACAATCCTTTCAACTGGACCAACAATCCTTTCAATTGGACCAACAATCAAAGGATTCAAACATTAGATGCCTCAACATTAGTTCCTTCTTGTTTTCCTGTGCTCTCATTCAACTGACCGTTCATGGAAATAACTAATTTCTCTGTTCTCGGTTCCAGCACCATCCCCTTAGATGTCATTTCCCTGAAATAACGCATAGCATCCTTTATCCTCCCATTTTCAAAGTGTCCATGAATCATGATGGTATATGATCGTCGGTCCGGTCCCAATCCATTTCTCTCCATTTCCTCCCATATTTTTCTCAATCCATCAAGATCACCCCATTTCATATACAACCTCAAGACCAAATTGTAGACATCATCACTCATTGCACATCCATTTCTCTCCATTCTCTCCAAAATCCCAAGAACTTCCTCCGGTGCCTTCAAAGACTTTAGCAAATAACTATAAGTAACAGCATTAGGCAAACAATCTCCACTCGTCCTCTCCATATCCTCTACCAATTCATAAACCTTCTCCATTCTCCTTATCTTACAAAGATGCTTAATCAATGAATTATAAGTAGCTACATTCGGTAGACAACCTCGTTCCTTCATGTCATGAAAAATCTGCAATGCCTCAGGAACTCTCTTCTTGAAACAAAGAGCATCAATCACACAATTGCATATCACAACATCAGGTTTACAGCTCTCATCTTTCCACATTCCATTGAACAGCTTTAAAGCAGTTCCCAATTTCCCTTTCTTTGTCATTGCCTTGATGAAAGTTGAATAGGTGAAAATATCAGGTTTGCATTTAGATGCTAAGATGTCTTTCCATAACCTTTTTGCTTCATGCGTATTCCCTAAAACACACCAACCATTGAGAATCACATTCCACGTCTTTATATCATGACAAAACTGAAACCTATTCAAATTTCTATGAAACAAAGTTTCAGCATCTTCAACATGCTTGTACCTACACAGCCACATCAAAAGAGTACGAAAAGCTTCCGAATCAAGTTCATTCTCCAAACCAAACTCTTCCCTTCTATGGAACATGTTAATTGCTTCGTCCACTTTATGTGCGGCCACAAACCTACGAATTAAAGTGGAAAATATTTCTTCATTGATGAGTTCTTTTCTATGTGACATTTCATCGAGCACTTGGTGTACCTCTTCAAAACGGTTCATTTTGCCGAGGATGTTGATAATCTCGTTGTACACGTGACAAGTGGGTGTGTATATGTTTGTTTTGGAGGCCCATTTGAAGAAAACGAGCGCGGGTTTCCAATCGGAACGGTGTCGTTGCAAAACGTCGAGGACGAGGTGGTCGTTGGGGTGAATTCCGGTGAGGTTGAGAGCTTGTTCGATTTGTTCTGTGGGTTTGTCTCGACGAAATTTAAGAAGGTTTTGGATGAATGCAGCTTGTGGTGAGTGGTGATGCGAATGAAGGAATCGACGATGGGATACGAAGGTTGCGAGAATGCGTTGGTTGTTTTCGCAGGAGAGTGTTCTTATTGCTCGCATGTTGATATGCATGCTTGTTGCTGTTAATCTGATTTTGTTTGCATGGATTGAATTCAATGATTTATTGACTATGGATGCATTCTCTCTTGAAAATGTTGAATGGATTTAATCAATAGAAATACTAAGCTTGTATATGAAAATTCAGTTTTCTTAGTTTAGTATTTTTTGTGGTTTCCTTTTAGAAAAAACGGTATTTTATAGGTTTAATTCAAAAAAATAAATAACTAAGGTGGATTAGATCATACAATGTGTATTTAAGGATATAATTCATCACTAAAGTGTTTCTTTTAGCTTGTTAGATTTTATGCAACAATCTTCATATTCTTTATAACCTTAAGCATCACACCTCATGTTTGTTAAGAAAATAAATGTTAATACTTATTTTATGGTGGAATCAATAATAGAAAACACGATTGTAATGAGATATGTTGTTTCGACATTGAATGCTTTTGATATGATATGGTGAAGAATGATGAACATATAAGGTTAACATTTTGATTCTCAAGTGAATTCTTAAGTGAGTAAAATATTTTTGAAACAATTCAAATTAAAAGTGAAAAAAAGAAAACTAAAAATTGGCGTGTGTGGAGGTTAAATAAGGTGAGTGGTTAAAGCACTCTTAGTTTAATAGCGTGAGACAAATTGAATGTAAGATCTTCTATTTTGCACTTAGCTGAGGCCTCATATATTTCTGTTTATTATTTGCGCCTTCTGTATTAGGCATTTGTCCACACACTCCAGCACACTTGTCTCCTAAGCCCTAATAACTACTTGTTCAAGTTAGGATTGTGTGGTTCGGGTTACCCTTGTCGTCCACTAGGTTTTTTAATCGGTCTTGTAACACCCCATTTAATTATTTAGTCGTTTTGTGATTTATTTTGTGTGATTGTTTTGACATTGTCTTGGTTAAGGATATGTGTGTAAGAGTGAGTGTGAGAAATTAGTATAACATAAGTTAGTTTGAATGAAACTTAGAATAGTATTATTATGATAATAATGATATAAATGTTAGTGGGGAATATCTTACTATTATTATTATTATTATTATTATTATTATTATTATTATTATTATTATTATTATTATTATTATATGGAATACTTATTCCTAATAATAAGAGTAATAATAATATTATTATTATGATTAAAAAAGAAATAAAACATAATTAGGAGAGATTAGTGAGAGGTTACATTATCAGTTTTCACGTGAAAAGAGAAAGGGAAAGAGAAGCAGAGTTAGGGCAAGTAGAGCAAGAGGATTTTCCACCATTGTTGAAAAAAGGAAAAACTTGAAAATTCAAGTAAGGGGGAGAATGGGTTATGTACTGGTGATCTGAACATGAGAGGGTAGTGAGGGTTCATTTCCCTCTTAGGATTTTATGCACACTCTTTCTCCTTCTTGTTTTGATTTTCGTATCTGGATGATTGTTGTTGTGATTTGCGTTTTGTGTACTGATTTTGATCTGAAAATTTGTGTAAATTGTATGTTGTTGTTGTGTTCATCATGAAATAAGATCTGAAAATTTATGGGTTTTGGGGGATGACGAGATGTGGTTTTAAAATGTGAAAAACTTGAATAGAATGATAGTTTAATGAATTAGAATGAAACCATTAAGATTAAACTAGTATAGATACTGTTTTGGGTCTGAATTAGGAGCTTGGAAGTACTCTAATGGGGGAAAATCGCACTGATGCGAAAATGAGTTTTTTTTTGTGTGCAGACTGGCCATACGTGTAACGCATGAGGGGACTCTCCCAGGGGCATACGTGTATGGTACACACCCTGTCCCCAGAGCCAGCACTGCCCTTTGGTCGCACGCGTAAGGTACGCGTAAGGGGAAGTGGGTCATACGGGTATGGGCTTGCCAATACGCGTATGGGAGGTTTTGGAGGGAAATCCTCTCTGGTCATATGCCTAAGGGCTAGGGAAATATGCATATGAAGGCCTGGGGATAGAGGCCCTACACGTAGTATACGCTGGCCTGGAATGAGGAAAGCTGGTCCATACGCGTATGCGAAGGGCCGTAGTGAAATTTTTTCGTTTTTGCAATTTCTATCTCGATTTTGCGTGTAATGCAATTTCTCTTGATCCGTAAGACTGAGATGGTATAATTGGACATAGAGGGAACCAGTAATGACATTAAATAGGATAAAACATGAAATTTTTATGTGATTGTCTGTATGAGACGTGTTTGATGATTGTGCGTCAAGATTGTCGTATGTGGACGGTCTTGGGTTATGGTGGTAATTCTGGAGGGAATTACGGTGAGCATGTGGCTCACGTGTGATCATTAAGGATCGTGGGTTATGCATGAATGATTATTATATTATGCATAATTTTGTGTCATGCATTCATGTGATGTTATGGGAAGATGACCTAGGTGGGAATCTATGATGGGTGCCTAGTCTCGTCCGAACTCCATATGAGAGTCGAGTGGAGATAAGTTGTAGTTCAGAGGAACGTATACGACTTATCCAGATTTCGACAGGAATCAGGTTCAATGAAGGAACTGTATGGATTGTGATGGTACTGCATGCATTGTGTCGTGTCAGTTGAGTCGCATTACATATGTATATGATTGATTGTGGGCTAAATATGCCGAGTATTTTTGTGCCACTTGTATGTGCGTGGTGATAGTATGACTTGTGTGATTTGTGTGATAACTACTTTTTAGCATGTGATTTTCATCGTGTATTATTGGATGTAATTCTCACCCTTTTTCTGTTGTTGTGTTTGTGCTCCTTGGGAAGTATAAATGATCAGGTACCTGAGTAGTGCTTGGAGTACGTGTTGCTATTGTTCGAGTCTTAAGAGTCACTCTGATACATAACATGGGAAGGATATGGATTTCGTTATTTTCTTTATGTTATTTGGCATTTGTTATTTGTTACGTATCTTGTTTTATTTAATATTGTTGAACCACGAATTTTGTGGAGATTTGATGTATTGGAGCTTTAATGCTGAACCATTTGATTTGTTTCCGCTATTTAATCAATTAATTCATTTTTATGAGGAAATAAGTTATGAAGTGATCGATACTTCATGATGATGTTTTATTGATGTGGCATTCTACGTGTGTAACTCATTAATTTCTGTAAACTATTTTCATATTTTTACTTATTATGCGAATGGGTAGAGTAGGGTGTTACAATTAGTATCAGAACCTGTCGGCCCGTTCGACCAGGGTCGTAGTAGAGTCTGACTATAGAGTGTATATAGTCATGTGTTTCTTCTAACTTGTATTTTCTTTGGTGTTGAGTAGTATGGCTGGTAGGAATGATGTTGTGATTGCTACTGCGTTACAAGCTATTGCGCAGGCGGTACATAATACCACTCAGAATGCTGGGGATGTCGAGTTCCGCAATTTGGAAAAGTTCCAAAATAACAAGCCATCTAAGTTCGAGGGAAGGCACAAACCAGATGTAGTGCAGAACTGGCTGAAGGATATTGAAAAGATCTTCAGAGTCATGGGATGCACTAAAGCTCAAAATGTGTAGTTTGGCACTCATATGTTGACTGAGGAAGCTGAAGATTGTAGGGATAACACCCGTTAGAGGTTAAAGGCTGCAGGTAGTCCCATTAATTGGACGGTGTTCAGGGCTGCGTTTCTGGAGTGGTATTTCCTAGAAGATGTTTGTGGTAAGAAAGAGATTGAGTTCATAGAATTGAAAGACGAAAACTCGATCTTTGTAGAATATGCAGTCATGTTCGAGGAACTAGTGAAGTATTCTCCTCATTATAATATTGATGCTGCTATGAGTTTGAAGTGTATCAAGTTTGAGAACGGGCTGCGTCCCAAGGTCAAACAAGGTATCGGTTATCAAAAGATCAAATACTTCCCTGAGTTGGTGAATAGGTGTCAGATTTATGATGAAGATAACAGGGCTTGGGTTGCTCACTACAAGGTCCTGAGTGACAAAAGGGGTAAACAAAGACACGGTAGTACACCATACAGTGCTTTGACTAATAAAGGGAAGCAGAAAGCTGTTGTTGGCAAGAAGCCAAGTGGGGAAGGAAATTCTTCCAACCGTATCAAGTGTTTCAGATATGGTGGCGCGGGTCAGCGTGTTAATGAATGTTAGAATGAGGTGAAGAAATGTTTCAAATGCGGAAAGCCAAATCATGTTGTGGCAAATTGTAGGACCAATTTACCCCTACCTGTTACAACTCTGGTGAATAGGGTCACATCAGCACCCACTGTTAAAAGCCGAAGAAGTTGCAGACCATTGAGAATATATTTGCATTGGTGGGGGCTCAGCCTATCGGTGAGGATCGTTTGGTCATAGGTACTTATTACATTCATAACACTCCTTTAATTGATATCATTGATACGAGTGTGACCACTCATTTATTTATGTTGATTGTGTGAAGAAACTAGGACTTGTGCCGTCTACTTTGAGTAAAGGTGTTGCACCCCAAAATTTGACCAACCATTTCTCATTATTTAGCTTATGTTTCAACTCATTTCATTTTGCATCCGCATATCACTTTCATTGCATTTTTTTCAATCAGATTGACTTTATCGGGATTACAGCCTTTTCCGGGCATTTCTGGCAGTTCAGGCCAGTTCGAATACGAGGATTTATTTTGGGAGTAGTGATCTTCCCGGTGTTTTCAGCTTTTACTGTTGTTTTTGAGGATATTTCGGTGTCCGGTTTTTACCGTTTATTTCTCTATATTCTCGCACATTTTTTTAATCGGTTTAATTGACCTTCCTTGCATTTTTAGATTTTTCCCTTAATTTCTAGAATATTAAATAGATTTTAAATAGTTTAATTATTTTTCTAGATTTTAAATAGATTTTAAAATAGTTTTTAGAGGTTAAATTCTTTTTCTAGAATATTTTTTTAGATATTATTAGATATTAATAGTTTTCTATTTTTAATAGATTTAATTCATTTTCCTAGATACTAATTGAGTTTTTAGAATTTAATTGATTAGTGTTTAGATTTTAAATAGATTTGTTTAGAGATCAATAAATGTAATTCTTTTTTAGATATTAATTGATTTGTTT